AGCCTTTCCAGGGACATCCCTTCGACGTCTGGTGCCCTCCCCAACTACCTCAGGTTTTCAGGCTGACTGGCCATGCATGTGGAGGACAAAAAGGAAGAAAACTAAGAGTGATTTAATGTGAGACTTGGATAAGAACGGTTTTGTTGTGCTAGAACGTGATTTCCTCAGTGCTTGCTCTTTCTTGGTTTTTTTTTTTTTTTAACTTTTCCTAAATTGAGCAGGTGGTAGTGAACAAACTTCCATTAGAACAGTTTTCCTTAAAATGACAAAAAATGCTACCTTGGGCCCAATCTCCAACAACTGACCCAGGCAGCCAGCTCTTTTCTTTCCAAGAAAACTTTTAATTATTGTATTAAATACATTTTTCTTTGTATAATATGTTACATGTGTGTGTTCAATTTTTAAATAAATATTTCAATCCATTCGTATTGGGTTTTAACTTTTGGAAGTTTTAAGAATTGTAGTTCTGTCTTTCGTATACTTTTTAACTAGCTATGAATCCTGCAAAATGCCAAAAGCAGCAACCAAATTTAAATTGGCTGAACAAGATATTATATAGATCAGAAAGGCACAAATTGAGGGTCACACATTGCCCTGTAAAATCTTAGCCATAGATTTTCAGTTTATTATCCAATTGCATTTTTAATGTAATAGGTGGGACAAATGACTAAATATATTTCAGACATACATTTAATTGTTATTACATGTACATATATTATCAAATGTTTTTGTTCTGACCCACCAATTTTCAGGGTTGACCTTCAATACATTGCTTAAAAATCAAGGGCAACCTCTAACCTATAAAAAGTTGCATTTATCTGAGAAAGTGACAGTTTCTCATTGCAGATTGCAATTCCCATACCTAAAAATTTATATTGACTTTGTGCAATTGGGGTCAGAATTATGTAAATTCATAGCAACTGATTTTGTTCTCCTATGTTATAGCATGATGGAAAGCCAGCACCTATTATAATCCCCTGAACACCTTATCCATGACTGAATATGAAAAGTGAGGTGCAAAAGCATTGCCTCACTACCATAATAGAAATAGCTTGTATAGCTTTAAAATATTGATTTTAGTTGTGTGTGGTTCAAATGAAAAAAGATTGTAGAGAAACAATGAATACTTTATTTTCTATCTTCACAGGAGAAAAACGGGGGCACACCCAATTCTCCGGAAGGGGATCAGATGAAATGAGCCATATAGGGGTGATGAGAACTGTGGTAGGCTTTATTGACAAACTGATCTTCAACAAAGCCATCCAGAGTAGCCCCAGGGTGAAATGAGCGGCAAATAAATTTAACAAATAAATAAAGCACCAGACCCCAGTGGCATCCACCCAAGGGTTATTCAGGAGCTTAAGCTGAGATTGTGGACTTTCTAATTAAAATATGCATCCTGTCTCTACACTCGGCCTCTGTAGTTGAAGGCTGGAAGATGGCTAACATAGCACCAACTTTTAAGAGCTCAAGGGAAAATCAAGAAAATTATAGGCCTGTTAGCTTAATGTCCATCCCAGGGAAGACTGCTATTAAAGATTAAATAGTCAAACATTTGGAGACAAGCTTTGCTCAAGGATACCTGATATGGCTTCATTAAAGGGAAGCTTCTGCCTAACTACAATATTAAAAATTTTTGAGGGTGTTAATAAACTTGTGGGTAGGAGTTTGACTTTCCAGTAAATTTAATAACCATGCAATAAAAAGACAGTGACTCTTGTGAATAAACAACTGGCTAAAGAATAGAAAACAAGAATAGGAATAAATGGAAATTTAAATGGAGCATGTAAGTAATGGGGTTTCCCCAGGGTTCTGTCCCAGGACTTGCTTTTTAACCTGTGTAAATGATCTGGAATCAGGCATGACTAGTGGAATAGCCAAGTTTGCTTATGACACTAAAATGTACACAGTGGTAAAAATAAAAGACTGCAAGCATCTCCAAGGGATCTCTGCATATTGGGCATCAAAATGGCAGATGTCATTCAACACTGCAAGTGTGCAATGATGTATACAGGTGCCAAAAATACTAATTATTCATAAAACTAATGGGATCAGAGGTAGCAGTGACTGATGAGGAAAGTAATGGTAAACAGTTCAGCGAAGGTAACAACACAGTGTGCATCTGCTATAAAAAAAGGCCAAGAGCATGTTAGATAATAAAGTATCACAATGCCCTTATAGAAATCAATGGTAAGATTGCATCTGGAATACTATGTGCAATTCAGGTTGCCAGGCATAAAAAAGGGTATAGAGGAGCTAAAGACGGTTCAGAGAAGGGCAATAAAGCAAGGGCTGGATCCAGGAGGGCATTGTTTATCCTCATGTTTTATTTCCTGCTACTCTTTCTGAAACTCCTACTAGTTGTCTAGTCTAAATGGAACTCAGTCCTAAGACAGCCAGGTCCTTGCCCAACTGACAAATATCCATTTATTTGCCACAATTCAGTTATATGCTGGAGAACTTCAGCTATCTAAGCTTTTTATGCCATTTTAATACAAATACAAAAGGTTGTTTCTATTTAAGAGCAGGGATATAATTGTCTCTGTATCCCAATTCCCAGGTCAATGGGAAAAAAATGAAAACAATTCCTTCAACTTAACTATGCTTTTTCAATTAAAAAAAAAAACCCTGAAATTCCAAATGCAAAACAAATTTTCCTCAAAGAGGGAGATCTTCGTATCCTTCTTCAAAATTTAATCTTGGTTTCCTTAGTGTCACAATGTACCATGGCTTGCACAATTCTGATATCTGTAGGTATAGACACATCATGGCACTTGGATACCTTTTCCAATGATTTTGCTCTCCCAAGGACTAGTCTGTTGTGTTATTTCTTACCTACTTGTTTCTTTGCCATTGATGGTTGATCCTAAAATGCAGAAGCTATCCAATGCAGAAGCTCTTCAATATCTTCATTGACAGTCTAAGGCAGACTGTCCTACCTGTACTCATTAGTTCAGTCTTTATATTTTAGTCCCATTTTTTTCACTTTGCTCCATGACTTTCATTATGAGGGCTTGCAGATCCTTTACATTTTCAGCTATCAGGGTTGTAATCAGGTGTCATCAGCTATCATCAGCAAAGCATTGGGGTTTCTTCCTCCAACCATGCTCATCTTCTTCCAACCCAGCTTCCCTTAATATATACATTGAATAGAAATTGAATAAGCAAGAGGAGACTATACAGCCTTTTCTTCTTTGCCAAAGTGAAGTCAGTCTGTTTCCCTATGTCCATAGGGAAGCCCCAGTCCATATTAGGGCTTCCTAACCTATACCTGTTTCTTATGACGACAATGAAATATTCTGGGATTCCCAATTTTCCCATTTTTCAGAGTTTTAATATGATTGATGCATTGTTATTGGGCTTTCTCAATTATCAAGTGTGCATCAACAGCAATGTCTCGTGTTCCTTGGCGCTTTCTCAAACCAGTTTTGAACATTTTTCACGCTGAACCTTTGCACATTATTATCTCTGAGAATTCTTGAATTGCTGTTGAAGTGCCTTTCACATGAATAACTCCTTGAAAACACCAACTTTGCCGATAGATATTAAAAGTACTAGAACCTCTGCCCTCGGCAATATCATAAGCTGCTCTTTATATTAAGATAAAGCGCCATCAGCAGGTATAATACAAGATTATCACTCCAGTATTCCCCATCGGAAAAAAGTGAGAGAAGAGATAAACAGCACTCCTTACTCAGAATGATGATGATGTTACCTAGTTAGGATAATGAAACATCTGGAAAGAAAACAAACAAGCTCAGAGAGCAGCAAGGATCTCCTCAAAAGAGATTCTGCTTGTGCAGTCCCTTTTAGGATGACATGAGTTGTTCCTTCACTTCAGAAGTCCCAAAGGTGCTTTTTCAGGAGACAAATGGACTTTGTTTTTTCTTTTGAAGACGTTTCACTTCTTATCCAAGAACCCTGTGTCCTCAGGGTCACCAAACCTCCAAGTGCTTTAGTGACCCCTTAAAAGGATGCAAATGACCAGCTGTCTGCAAGGAATATAAATCCTTCCATTCCCCACTATCCTGTCAGAACTGAAGAAGCTTCTTGGATGAGAAGTGAAAGGTCCTCAAAAGAAAAAACAAGAAAGTCCAGTTGCCTCCTGAAAAAGCACCTTTGGGACAACCATGACCTGGATGACTGAGAATCTCTGACAGACTTTTAGCTGTACAGTTTGGGATGAACACCCTTTGAGTGGTGTGGAAGGGATTTCCAGAGAAAAAAAAGTATTTTATTTTATTTATTTTTATTTATTTATTTTTGTCAAGAAAGTATTTGGTAATAAGTTTAAGCATGGATTGGATACATAAAATAGATACAAATAGAAGAAACATTAGGACAGGGACAGTGCAGTGCTCTTATGCACACCCCTTATAATTGCAGACTACAGGAACCAGGAACACCACTCAGGTGACCCTGAGGACACAGATAAACCTCCAAGTGCTTCAACGACCCTCTGAAAGGATGCAAATAACCAGCTGTCTGCAAGGAATATAAATTCTTCCATTCCCCACTATCCCTGTCAGGGCTGAAGAAGCTTCTTGGATGAGAAGCGAAACGTCTTCAAAAGAAAAAAAAAACCAGAAAGTCCAGTCGCCTCCTGAAAAAAGCACCTTTGGGACAACCATGACCTGGATGACTGAGAATCTCTAACAGACTTCCCTTCAGAAGGAAATGGGCGGAAAGAGAAGCCGCACTGACTGAGGCCGCCTTTTGGTCAGGTAGCTAGTTCAGACACCAGTCAGTGGACGGGCGCTCCCCCCTCCCCCGCCTCCCCCGCTCCCTCAAGGTCTCTCTGGCTCTCTACGCCGCCGGCAACCGCCTCCCCCCCACCTCCCCCCCCCCAGTCTACGAGACGCCACGCCCCCTTTCTCTTCGCGCTAATTCCTTCAACCTCGAAGGCCACGCCCACCCCCAGCTCGCCTGCCCGGCTGCCCGTCGCTCGCTCCTCTTTGGCGCGCGGTGCATGCCGGGCAAGGGAAGGGGAACCGCGAGAGGAAGGGAGGGCTAGGCAGCCGTCGCGGCCTCGATGTCTCGGGGCGGCTCGGCGCCCGGCTGGGGCTGGTGGCCTCCGTCGCGGCGGCGGGGGCGGCAACAGCAACGGGCCAGGAGAAGGGTGGCCGCCGGTCCCGGCTTCCTGGAAGGAGCCTGGGCCTTTCCCGTGGCGGTGCTGGCGGTGGCGGGACTGGCGGCGGCGTCGCTCTCTTTGCTGGTGCTCGTGTTGGGCCTCTCCGGAGCTGCGCTCTCCCTGATCGTGGCAGCGGCGGCTGCGGGATCCTGGATAGTCTCCTCGGGAATAGGCGGCGGCAGCAAGGACCGGAGGGGGACCCCCTTGCTGACCCACCGCATCTCCTTTGCTTCCAAGAGTAGCGATACGGTCCTGGCCAACGGGGGGCCCTCCATGAGCTCCTCCTCGCCCGGACTGCTCGTGCCTGAAAGGAGGCGGGGGCAGATTTACGGGTAAGGGGAATTCACTGTACAGGAGCCCCTCAGCTTTTTTTCCCCTTCCTTCCTTCCTTCCTTCCTTCCTTCCTTCCTTCCTTCCTTCCTTCCTGTCTGTCTGTCTGTCTGTCTGTCTGTCTTTCTTTCTTTCTTTCTTTCTTTCTTTCTCTTTCTTCCTTTCTCTTCCTTCCTTCCTTCCTTCCTTTCTTTCTTTCTCTTTCTTCCTTCCTTTCTCTTCCTTCCTTTCTTTCTTCCTCCCTCCTTCCTTCCTTCCTTCCTTCCTTCCTTTCTCTTCCTTTCTTCCTTCCTTCCTTTCTTTCTCTTCCTTCCTTCCTTTCTTTCTTTCTTCCTTCTTTTTTCCTTCCTTCCTTCCTTTCTTTCTCTTCCTTCCTTCCTTTCTTTGTACCTTCCTTCCTTCCTTTCTTTGACGAGCCCTTGCTGAGATTTGCATTGCAATCTGTACATGCTCGTGTGCCTGTGGTGCCGGAATGGAGGGGGCACTTGGAACAGCGTTGTCTGGGTTCTTTTTGGGTCCTCCCCGTTGTGAAAGGGAAGAAGAGCATAAACTTGACCGGATAGATTCTTCTCCTTCCTTTGGGCACCCGCTAATATTCCAGTGACAACGCTTACACTTCCTTCAAACTTGGTTAAGGAACCACTGGAGAAAAATCAGGCTAGAACCTGGTTCTCTTCTCCCCATCTGCTTGTACACAATATGGTAAAACGTAGCTGTATACATTCAGACTGCATGCATATATTTGCGCAGCTCTTATTTGAGTGGGTATGTGTATATAAAACTATAAATACACACACATGCACACACACGCATATGTACATACAAACATACAGAGAGTTCTTAAAGCATATTTTGGACCAGGCAGTTGAGCTTAGTATTTGAACCTCTTATATGCAGAATGAGTCATTTCTTCTATAGAAGTTGGACTACTTTTTGCTGTTCATACCCGGCATTCTTTTTGTTCTTTCTGCTTTGTATCTTCTCCCATTTTATGGGCTTCCTGTAATTAATGGTAGGGTTGGGTTTTTTTTTGTAATTGTTAACAATTTCATTCAGTCCCTCAGGTTAGAGCCAGGTTCTCATCCCATCCTTTTCCCTTTACTGAGGCTCTTTTCCTTCCTCTCTATACACGTTTCATTTTGTTTGTCAGAGGTGGTTACTGTTTTGCTTGACCTTGGTTTTACGGAAATGAAAAGCAGAGGTTTGGAGAGATTGGGGTGCTTTATACTGCCTGGGGAAGAGGAATAATTTAATCATAGCATCTTCATCATACTATGTTTGATCTCTCAATTCATTCTGATATTAAACGTAGCTTGATTTCACTGCATTCCCCAAGACGCTCTTTTGTCCTTTCCCTCATCCATTACTATTGCCTTATCAGAGCTCTTGTCAGTTTCCTCTTCCATCTGTGCTCTGGGTTTCCCTGGTAGAGAAGCACAAATTCCCTTGCTGCTGCATGTGTCTATGACACGTTTGCCAGCTTTCTCATATTGTATTCAGACAAATGTGATGGAACGGAGAGAGTTGGAAGTCTAAGTGGATCTTGCTAGTAACTAAGAATCAAGGTTTTTCTCAAGGTTGTAAGCAAGGCTGAATGTATTAGCCGAGGTAAACAGCTATTCTGTGTGCATGACAGATGTTCTGTCCTTATTGTAAATCGGTATTCTCCAGTGATTCAGTTTTCACTTAAATTGGGTAATTAGATAAAAAATTCAACTCAAAAATAAGCAAATGAATTCCATGGCTGAAGTTTGCTGCAAACCATCTTGAATACATAATGCTATCACTTTCTAGATTTATTGATCTTCATGTTGATGTGCTGAGAATAGTGTGATAGATTTTCTATTTGCACTTTAAAATAACTTTATGAACTGATGGGAAGTGATATCTTTCTATTGCTGAATGAGAAAACAGGACTTAAAGCATTTTGGTTTTGTGTATCTATTCTTTGCTAACAAGAGTAATAAATGAATATAAAGGATGCTGTATATTTAGTCTGAGATGCGTTTCCTGCTGGCCTTTTGAACAGGAACAGTTTTGCTGCTTATATCATTTCTTCATTTTCTTTGATTACATGTTTTATTCTCCATTCTTTCTAGGGATCACCTGAGTCCATCCACTCGTTTTACACTGACTCCTCGGCGGCGCTATCCTATCCAGCAAGCCCAATATGCTGCGTTGGGAACCTTGCCTTCAATTTGCTGGGATGAGTATCGGCGGAAAAACAGGCTATCCATTCACCATTCTAGCATTGCCCACAGCCCTGTAACAGTGAAGATTGCTCGGCCAGAAAGCAGCATTGGCCGTTCTCCGCTGTGAGTTTGCTTCAGTAATTGCTTTTGGGCAGTTTTTAGGTTTGCAGGCTTGACTGCAGAAAGGGTCTTCTCTTGGAGTGATCCCATTTCTCTTCCTGATTTATAGTGATATATGTAAATGTTGTGGAAAGCCTGGCGATCTTCAAGCTATTTCCTTGTGGCCCAGTTACTTAGGACACATCTTGGTTAGTTGATTGGTGGAACTGACTGAGCTATTCCTCTTCCTGTCATCAGCCTCCACAATTCTTGGCCCTAAAATGTTTTCTTAACCACTCATCATATTACCTTAGAAGTATTTTGTGAGGTCACAAGTAAACCCTGAACTGATGTGAACAGACTGCCTATATTCAGCCAGATTTCAACTTGAATCCCATTGGATAGGTCCTGTGGGCATGAGGAATGGGTAACTTAGTTCCTGGGGCATCATATGAACAATGAGAGGAAATTCACATTCTTGTGACTGCTGTCATTTCATCTGACAGGTTGGAGCAGTTGGTTTCTCCTGTGGCTTTCTCTTCAACGTCTAATACTATCCTGGATCCATGTGCAAAAGAAACTGTCTTGAATGCTCTCAAAGAGAGCCGGAAGAGAGCTGTGGAGGAAGAAGAGGAGGACCAGAACTTTCCAAATGGTCAAGAGAACAAGAAGAGGTAACTAATGACTAATGGTCTCCTCCTGCATGCTGCAGAACAAGACTCCGGAAAGTTAGCACAGTAGTTAAACGCTTTGGTTAAAGTTGAGGGGAACTCAAATTAATCTGAACAAAACACTCTCTGAGACGGATCATAGCAATACTGATTACATAGGGGCATGTTTTAGTATTTTAATCCTCAGATCAAGATTCTTCCACATTCCTTGTAAAAGTTCTGTATGAGAAGTTTAGCAGGGTCTACACTACAACAAACAGATAATAGATTTGCAGCAAACATAGTTTTGTATGTAAACAAGCTGCGGCCAGGACTTGTTCTACAAAGCAACAGGGCTTAGAAGAATTAGAATGCTTGCACCAATATTTCCTCCAATACCTTCTGTAAATTAATATCAGATTACCCCACACTTTGACTCTAATTACTCTGTGACCATACTACTACCATGCTAATAATTGAAAAATCTGACAAAGGCAGGCAGGAATGAATGTACAAAATATGCACCTTATTATGGTTTGGGACATCTGATATCTAATGTTCTCTAACATCTGGAACAATCATTTTTGCCCATTATTTTTTGGGATATTCTTTTTATTTTGAATACAGATAACTTATTTTCAGAAATTGCAGTTGTATTTCTTGATCTTTTGATATAAAGCCAATAAATTGTTTCATAGACTTTGTACAAACTATTTTCAATAAGACTGCTATACTTGGAGAATTTTTTTCCCTGCGATGAAGGGTTATAGCACGTGCGATAATAGTACTGGAACTGCTACCATTACTCATGGCATTTTAAGTTTAAGTTTTAAATATTTTAAATATTAAATAACTTTTTCAAATTGTAATCTGTTTCTGATTCATCTTTGAAAAAATGCCAAAATGTGTTTTCTCTTCCTCTGATCAGCCTCCCTATAGATAGAATTGAACTTGTTCGTTATAGTGAGCTAGTTGAACCAGAGATCTTTGGGAATGCTGGTAGACTGAATGTGTTCTTGATCCCACCTGAAATCATTCTTTTAATCTTTTTTTATTTTCTGCAGGCGCCATGATAGTACTGGAAGTGGTCATTCTGCATTTGAGCCCTTGGTGGCCAATGGAGCACCTGCATCTCTTGTGCCCAAGTAAGTGCCAGGAGCTCTGCTGTGAATGAGAAATGTTTTCCTTTTATAGTGCTAACAAACGATCAAATAAATTCTGGAAAAGAGACAGAATATTTGCTTGGGGGACATGTTTAAACCCTTTTCTCCCTATTTGTTACTTCTCCTGTCAGTTGAAGGATTCAGATTATAGTGTGTGTGTGTGTAATTCAGTTAAATAAATTAGAGAAGTAGGTGAAGCAGACATTTTTAGGAAAGGTGGTAGAGAAAATGGGGACATTGCAACTCCAGAGGGTCCTGGAAGGAACAGGTTATCTGGATCCTTTCAGTCGGGTTGCAGGCCTGGATACAGGACTGAAACTGTATTGGTCACACTCATGGATGATCTCTGGCGGGAGCAGGATGGAGGTGGTGCTTCCATCTTTATTCTCCCTGTCCTCTCAGCTGCTTTTGATACCATCAATCATGATGTCCTTTTGGGCCAACTTGAGGAGTTGGGGTTGGACAGCAAAGTTTTGTGCTGGTTTACCTCCTTCCTTCAAGGCTGGTCCCAGTCAGTGTTGATAGGGAGTGAGAAGCTCCAACTCATGGGCCTTCCTTTATGGAGTGTTACAGGATTTGGTGCTCTCTCCGCTCCTTATCAACATCTACATGTAACTGCTGGGTGAGATCATCTATCTCCATGGGGTGAGGTATCACCAATATACTGATGACACCCAGTCATATATCTCCGTCCTGGGTGAATTGAGTATTGCAGTGGACATCGTTTTACAATGGCTGGAAGCCGAAGGATCTGGATGGGGAAACGGCAGACTTCAGCTTAACCGCGGTAAGTCCAAGTGGCTGTAGGTAGGCCCCTCTGTACCCAGGAGTTTATCATCTTTGGTCTTGGATGGAATTGTACTACCCCAGACAGACCTGATGCTTGGAGAGCTGATGGCCATGGCCGGAAGGGCCTTTGCCTAACTACATGTTGTGCTCCAGTTATGCCTTTTCCTGGACAGGGAGTCTCTATCTCTGGTCATGTCCTGATTGAACTATTGCAATGCATTCTACATGGAGCTACTTCTGAAAAGTATCTGGAAGCTTCAGCTGGCACAGAATGCAGCTGTCAGCGTTCTAAGAAATGCACCCATAGAAAACAGAACTCGGAGGTAGGCAGGTTCTTCAAAGAACAGTTTATTGGATATTTCATATTGGCACAACTGGTGGAAGCCGACTCTGGAATTTCCCGCATTATTCACCTAATTAAAAGTAAAAGTTTCCTCTTTCCCCCCAAGTCACTGGTCACACTGTCCATTCCAGGTGCTGGCCGGTTGCTGGGTTAGTTGCTCCTCCTCTGGCCAGCCACCTGTGAGAATGTCTTTGGTTCCCACAGGAAAACTTTATTGTTTTGGCTACAAAACCTTATCTAACTATTTCCCCCCTCCCTCCGTTGTGTGGCAACTCTGAAGCCTCCAAGATAGCTTCAGCCAGGTTCACTTCAGGGTTGACAGCAGCTGCACAAGCCATACTGGGTGCCTGAAGAAGAGCACATATAATACCCCTGCTCTGCAAACTGCACTGGGTACCATTTTGCTTCTGGGTCCAATTCAAGGTCTTAGGTATCATCTATAAACCCTGCATGGCATAGGACCAAAGTACCTATGGAACTGACTTCTCCCAATCTCATCAATGCATCGCAGGCAGGGAAAGTATGCTACAGACCCCATCAGTCGAAGAATTTTGACTGGTAGAGTCTAGGAAGAGAGCCTTCTCTGCCATTGCCCCTGCTTTATGGAACATCCTGCTCCCAGAAATGAGGAAAGCCCCCAATCCCTTGGCCTTCTGCAAAGGGATCAAAATTCTGTGAACTTGCATGTTGGGGCACAGAGAACCATGCAACCATGGGGCTGGCTAGTCCCTTGAGAGCCCCTCCCTCCTATAATAATCCAACATTAAAAGGCCATTTTAGATTTGATTTTTAATTTTAATATTAATTTTTCTATGTCATTTTACTTGCCAGTTATATTGTACAGCACCCTGAGTCCTTCTTTGGGAAAGCTTGGGGGAGTCTAGAAATACGAAAGATGAATATATAAATAAGATTTTAAATATCTGGTTAAAGAGATTTAGTTTCACAGATCTTTCAAAGGTAGGGGTGTGAGCTGAGCATTTTTATCTTTCATACTTCTAGAAAACATATAAAAATATATTTATGAAAGATAAATACATATATAAGATTTTAAATACCTGGCTAAAGAGAGATAGCTTCACTGAGCTCTTGGGAGAGTGCATTCTGTACTTTGAAGTTATGGAAGAGAACGTGATTTCTTTTGAGTTGGATAAATGGGCTCTGAAAGCTGGAACATAATTCCAAGGGCTTTTTCCTGGAGAGAAGATTCCAGTTTGGCTCTGCTGGAAATGTATTCTGTAGTCTTTGTGCTTGTAAACCATAAGAAGCAAGGTAAGTTTCTTCATTGCACTTTGGAAGTTGTGCTTCTGCAAAATGCATCTAATTGTCTTGCAGCAAACCTATAACAGCTGTCTCTTTTCATAGACCTGGCTCTCTGAAGCGGGGACTTGTTCCTTCCCACTGCCTAGAAGATTGCTCCTCTAAGAGATCGCGCACTTCTTCCCTCAGTTCTGTGAATAGTCTGTCTGTGGGTGGTATACCAAGCTCCATCCGCAATGCTATTGCCAGCTCATACAGTTCTACCAGAGGTCTCTCACAGGTACATTGTTAGATGATTAACTCCTTTAATGCATAAGATACTGTAGGTATTTCCCAGTTGTATTTCCCAGAACAAAGATGTGATGATAACTTGCTGTTCTCTTGAACAAAACTTGATTAATCTGCATACAAATATTAGTTTCTGTGTTCTCAAATTAGAAGAATAAATATAGCAATAAAGGATTTTACTCTTAAAATGTAAAAATATGACTGCAGATCAGTGAAGTTTAGTTTGCCAGTTTTCATAAATTATTGTAAAATGATCTATGAATTCAATCCAAGATTTTCATGGGATCTGATATGGAGTATGAATGGAAGGTATCAGAAGAGGGTCTGGAGTTGCCTACTTATTTGGTGGATTTATCAGAGGTGGACAAACCTTGCTACTGATTTGTATGCTGAAAGTTACACTACTCCATTAAATCCTTTCACGTAGTCTGATAATTGTTATCCAGGTTGTTTACTAAGATCCTAGTGACTTTGACAGTCCCAGTTGGCAGCTGAACCTGCAGGGCACATATGGATATCCATACCTGGTGATATCTTCATCACATATCCATCCAAATAATAAAAGTGGAGTATGTGCAGCCTCTCTTGAATTGTTCAAAGGTCCTTGGTTTTATACCCATCAGCCATTGCAGAAAATGATCAGGGCTCTTGTAGGCAACAGACAGAATTAGAAAAGCCCATTAGAATCAAACAGCCAGGAAATCTGGCAATCTAGCTGACAGTTCCACAAAACCTGAAGGTAGCCAGCTGCTATGGCTATACTTGGGCAGATTCATCAGGGGAGTAAGTCTAACTTTTTCCTCACAACAAATAAGCCTACTGAATGCTGATCTATCCAGGCAGAGTCTACCAAGAGACTGAGACAAGGAGATACAGTTGAGTTGGGGAACCTAGTAGAGCAACAATATTACAGGGGCCAGCAGTTGGATAGGGGTTGAAGAATAAAAGTGGCATGAGGGATTCCAAGGCAAGTTTATTATAACTGTATAGGTTTTAGATGGCAGCGTTTAATCATGGAAAATCCTTTTTGCCATTCACTTCCCGTGTAAGTAGATCTCAAAAGGGATTACATTAATTTAATTTCCTCTCTATATAAATGTTCTGCTTAAAACCTAAATAAGATATTGAAAATATTCTTCTTGTTTCCAATAGTATTTCATGCTTTATTTTCTCTCCTTTAGCTATGGAAGAGAACGGGACCAAGTTCCTCTCCTCTTTCCAGCCCAGCATCCTCTCGGTCTCAGACACCTGAAAGGCCTAACAAGAAAGCAAGATATCCCAGTTCCAACATCACGTAAGGGCAGCTTTTCTTTACCCTTTTTGATATTCCTTAGACTTACGGTTCTCAGTAGCTGGAAGGATGCAATTCTTTTGAGGCCTCTTTCTGGTAGATACTCTGGTTTCCATAAACTTGCCTTTTTTTGTGTTTTCAAGCCAATGTTGACTTCTGGCAACTGCCTGCAGAAATCCATACAGTTTTCTTGGCAAGATTTAAAAGTGGTTTTGACATTGCCTGCTTGCTAGGGCTGAGAGTGAGTGACTGGCCCAAGGTATCCAGTTCACTTTATGCCTAAAACAGCACTCAAACTCAGAGTCTCTCAGTTTCTAGCCTGATGCTTTAACCACTATATCAGCAGTTGGTGCTCTCTAAATATATCTACGGCATATGTTTCATCCCTCCCCTTGTTTAATTGCAAAGTTAACCAAGACATCTTTCCTGCGTTTAAACATATTGTGAAGATCAGTCTTCTGCAAAAAAGAGAAGGTTTTTGCATGTGATTTTTAATAGGCAAGATCCTGTCTGAGCTTTTATGGGGTGGGGGGTGTATTTATTGAAAAGAGAGTTGACTATTAAATAAAAAGCATTTTCCATGACATTTTACCAAACTGCATTTCTGAACTTTACCTAACCATTAGATAAATTGAAAGAGCTAGCAATGATTTGGGTTGTTGTCTTGCAATCTGTTGCTTGAAATTTTTTGTTACTATGGGGTCTTCAGAGCAACACACTCGGGCGACTGCTTTCATAAGATGCCTGCTTGCATTATCCTGAGAATCTCCTCAAACCAACATCCAAAGGGTAGATGGCCAGCTACTGTCCATAAAATGAATGACAATAGTATATGGGAGGAAGAATGGTAGGGATGAGGGAAGCAGATCATCCTCCTATCTCTGACTGTCCCTCTGCAAATCTTCGAGCCAGAAGTTCAAAAGAAATTGCTTAAGCATTCTCTTTCACTTGCTTTCTCCTGTTGCTACAGTGAAGAAGAGCCTCAGAAATCCAACTCGCAAATGCCTGTGACAGCAGACAAAGAGACAGAGGAAGAGAAGAGTAAGTTCTGGGGGTGGGATGGGCCAAGAAGGATTGGAGAGCAAAATGGAGGGGCCGCTTTGAGTCTGGGGTGTGACGGGAGGATCCTAAAACAAAAAAGGTAAATAAAAATTACATTGTCAGTAAGGCGGGAGAATGCCTCTGTTTCACAACAGAGTGACAAATGGATTGACATGACTTTGCAGTTGCTCAGAATTTTAAAAAATCACCTATGCAATAATGGCAAAGTAGTGTTTCAATATTTCAGATCTATATTCTGAGTCCCAGTTCTTTACCTGTGAAGACTGCTAAGAGATCTTAGCACTGTATTTTTCTTCCCTCTGTTGAATGCTTTCTAATCAATTGGGAGGTTTTGTTAAGAACACTTACAGAATATATTGATATCTCTGAGGAAATATTGAAATTTTAATTGATAATACTGATTCATATAAATATTCTTACTGTACACCAGCCTAGCTTCGTTCTATTTACTTTTTTGAAGCCTCTATGTTCATATTATGCTTGTCTGTTTTTAAGTCTTCAAAGATTTTGTGTTTAGACATAGATCATTACTACTGCAGAAGCCTGAGCTGCTTCTGATTGGGTAGCCACATGCATAACTTGTCAACTTGGTCTCAGTTTCAGAATCACCCTTGAAGAATAAAAGCAACTATGTGAGTTCACCATCTTCATCAGGAAGCAATGGCAAGCGCAAGCGGAAGATTCAGCTACTTTCAGCTCATCATGGAGATAATTTTGCCTTGGTATGACTCTTCAGGGACTTCTTTCTTTCCCTCCTTTTTTCCAGGAATAAGAATTGTTGAGTACATAGTTGAGTTGAGTACGGAAGACACCATATGGCAGGTGATAAAGTATCCAGCCAAGAAGACAAGATAGTTAGATTGAGTAGGATGGGTGTTGCTAAGCTTTTGACTTTAGTCAAACACACCACATCCCTTGATGCCTGAGAAAAAAGTGGGAAGCACTAAATTCATGTAATCTTTAGGTTTATTTATACATTCCCAGAGCTAGGGGAAGAACACCTCTGTCTTTTGTTTGGTGCTATTTATGAAAGTGCTGTTTTGCGCCTTCAGAACAAATGCTTAAGATGTTGTTTTCTTGGCAGCCTCCACCACCTCAACTGGGCTATACAGTCACCCCAGAAGACTTGGATGCAGAGAAGAAAGCAACACTACAGTGGTTCAACAAAGTCTTAGAAGAAAACATTGGTAGGTGTTCTTGTTGTCTGCTCCAGGCTGTCCTTTGGGAATCTACCCCCCAAATAAGAGATTTATACAAACTAAATAGGGGGTGCGATGGCTCAGGGGTTAAAGACACTGAGCTTGTCAGCTGGAGAGCTGACAACCTGGGTTCAGAGACCCAACAGAGTGAACTCCTGTTACTTGCCCCAGCCCCTGCCCGTCCAGCAGTTCGAAAGCTTGCAAATGCAAGTAGATTGATAGGTGGGAAGGTGACTTTGGTGGGAAGGTAACAGCGTTCCGTGCATCTTTGGCATATAGCCATGCTGGCCACATGACCACGGAAATTGTCTTTGGACAACACTGGCTCCCTCATCCAAGAAACACGGATGAGCACCATGTCCTAACGTCGGTCACGACTGATTGGGAAATCTTTACCTTTACAAATGAAAAGTGGGTAATGAGAGTGACTTTCTTTCTGTGCAGGTCTTCTTTGTCTTCTTTGCTTGTTCTGTTGGTTCTTGCTAGTCAGATTCATTAGTTGGCTTTAATGTCAGCAGATGCTAGATAGTGGATTCTAGTGACTTTGAAATTGCCAGAAAGCTCTGATGGTTTTCCCAACAGATTCTACCCCAAGCCCACCCGTGGAGACCACCTCTTCATCCCAAACTTTGAACTTTCCACTGATCTCCACCAAACCAACACCTGTGTCATTGCCCATCTCTACTGCCGCAACCAATCCCCTTCTGGAGAGCTTGAAGAACATGCAAGAAGGAAAGAGCTCTTCAGCACAAGCAGGTGAGCAATTTCAGAGGGAAAGGGGCATTCATTGCCTGCCTTTGAAGAACATTGGAGTGCAATAAAAGGCCTGTGGTCTGAAACTTGTGGATCTGAAACTGTTCTTAAGTATTCAGCAGCTTCCTATAGAATTGGATGTTGATGAATGAATGCAAGGGGATGAGGACTAAATTTCCTGTAAATAATCTAGGCCTAATCTGGTGACTCTAGAGAGGGATAGGGTTAGAGTTTTGATTTATGTTCATTAAAATATGGATGGTTCCATTAAAAAGTTTATTCTGAGTATTCTGTGTCAGAATACAGACTCTTGCTTCCCTCTCTTCCTTTACAAAGAGCCAGAAGCAGGCTGAACTTCATAGCCTTAAAGCTTAGCTTTAAAAAAAAAATCAGATGGTCCCACAAATTCATGAATTCCTTGTATTTATAATGCAGGAACTATTCAGCTAACATGTTTAACTGACAAGGCTGTTCCTTTCTCCTCTTTAGCCACAGGGGAAAGGCAGAAGCAATTTAAGCTGGCAAGTATGCATTTTTCCATACAGAAAAAGGATTGTTCCTCACCTTCTTCATAAGGAAAAATGTTCTCTTTCTTTTAAAATATTTTTTACAGTTATTAAGAGAAAAGGACTAGAGATCTTCTTGCCCACCAAAGTTTCTGGAGACCAGAATGCAGGCTTTCCCTGAACTCAGTTCTTTACTCAGATGTTGGAGATACTTGAACTCCTCAGGCCTGGCAAATTGCCAGCTTTGTTTTTACTTTTGAGAAATTCCTTCCTCCAGGGACCTGTTCAGTCCATTCATTGGTTTTCTTTTAAAGAACTGGAGTATGTTCTTTTTAGGAGACATTTAGAGCAGTGAGGGGTTCTTGGTGCTCTCTGATCTTGGTTGTTTTCTTGCAGACATTTCATCACCCAAACTAGGTAACATCATGATGTTACCTGGTTTGGGTAATAAACATCAGCAAGAAAACAAGCAAGCTCAGAGAGTACCAAGGACCCCTCATTTCAACCCTGAGTTACAAATATTCTCCTTTCTTGGCTCATTTAGAGTAATTTGGAAAATTCTTAAACAATGTTTTTAATGTTCAGTTTTATAGAATTTTAATCAGCTTTTTATCTGATTTTATCAGAATTTCTAATTAGATATAATCCTGTTAAACTAGTTCCTGAATGCCAAATAGCTGACTGTTACAGACCATTTTCTGGAGATTAACAAACAGAATGGCCTATATCACACAAGAGAGGATAAAATAGATTGTGAAATGTTTATAATGCAACCTAAAGAAATGTTCTCCACACTCCATCCATGCTGGACAATAAATCCGAAATATTTTTGCCTTTTTTATTTATCCAGAAATTTAATTCTTTAATTTCAGGTATTTAATTCTTGAGCATCTCCCCTGGTTGTAGTGACAGATTAGATTGTTTAAGAGGGTTAAAGTATGGAAATTTCACCCTTTTCCTCTGTCTATAAAAAAGCAAAACAAATTCTTTTCTGCAGTAAATACAGAAGGAGGAGAGAAGTTAACATTTATGTATTCCAGATTGTCTGATGTAAATAAATAAGTTTTCTTAATGGTTTACTGTGGAACAGTGTCTCCTAATTACAGTAATGGAGTGCTTTCTCCCTTTTCCCTTCTCTCCCCTCCAGCCAAGACAGTTCCAGGGACTACAGGCAGCCCTCAGCTACCAGCTTTCTCTGCCTCACTGGATTTGAGCTCCTCTGTGACAGTGACATCCCCTAAGCCTCTGGCTCTCAACGCACCTGTTTCCACTGCTGCTCCTCCTTCAGGCACTTCCCTCCCCACCAGTAGCGCAGGCAGTTTGGTGACAGCTGCTTCTGAGCTGGGCCATACTCCAGCCAGGCCCTCATCTGCTCCAAAACCCAGCATCCTTTTTGGGATCCTCACAAGTCCTTCAGCCGACAAACCTCCAGCTGCAACAACGCCATCATCTTCTGTGCCCAGCACGGTGCCTGTTTTCAAACCAGTGTTTGGCAGCCCAGCAAAAAGTGAGAACTTTGGCTTCTCAACAAGTGGCACCACTGTGGTTTCTGCCACTGCGCAATCTGTGCCTTCTTTGGCACCTCCTGTTGCTCCCAGCGGCATATTCAAACCCATCTTTGGATCACTGTCCACACCAGCAACTGCTGTCCTGCCTACCACCACATCATCTTCTCCCTTCACATTCAGTCAGGCCCCTCAGCCAGCAGCATCGTCTGGCCTTCCTGCCATCAATGCCTCGAGCAGCTTAGGGCTCCCTGTTCTCCCAGACGCCACTGTTACCACCTCGGTGTCACCCCCTGGAACAGCAAGCGTGACATTTGTCTCCATGAGCAAACCTGTGTTCAGTTTTGGGCCAGACATCCCATCCCCTGCCACTGCCCCCAACAACAACAGCAGCAATAACACTCCTGCCACTGTTGTCTCCACGCTGGCATCCCAGCCCATGCTATTTGGGGCTGCACCCAATGCCAGCACAGCTGCCATGTCCCTTTTCCAGTTTAGCAAGCAAGCTGCTCCTACAGGCGCCGCTGTCAATCTCTTGGCGCCCTCCAGCACCACTAACTCAGCTCCCACTATTGCTGCTGCTGCTGCTGCTGCTGCCGCCGCCACCACAGCTAATACTTGCTTCAGCATTTTTAGTGGCAGCAGCAGCAGTTCCACGCAGGCTTCTTCAGCACCATCAGCCACCACACAAGTTCCACTGACATTTGGATCTTGCACCTCTGCGTTCAGCAGTACCTTTGGGGCTGCCTCAAAACCACCCCCTCCATACCCTGCAGCTACAAGCCAGCTGGCTTTTGATTCAGGTGTCTCTGAGGGCCAACAGGCAGCTCTCAAGCCTCCGGCAGCAGGACCCCTGAACTTTGGGACTCCTTTCAGCTTCACTGGTTCAGTAGCCCAACCTGCAGCCCAGCCAGCATTTGGTAGCTCTTCGCAGACCCCTTTTGGAGGGGCTGGCCCCTTGGCATCTTTTGGAGCCAAAAGTACTTCCCAGCCAGCATTTGGAGTTGCATCGTCCATCTTTTCTTTTGGGACAGCCACCACATCCAGCACTCAGACTACGAGCAGCAGCACAGGAAGCTCTGTGTTTGGAGGGTCAGCCCAAGCTCCGTTCACCTTTGGGGCATCGAATCCCCCAGGTGTGGCAGGCAGTGCTTTTGGTGTTGGTGCCAGCGCTACAGGCACAGGAGTGCCCACAGTTGGATTCAGTTTCGGCAGTGGGCAGAGTGGAGCTGCAGAGGGAGTGACACCCTTTGGAACTTCCTTGGCACAAAACCCTCTGGGTGCCCAGAACCAAAACTCTGCCTTTGCTTTCAGCATCCCAAGTACACCTGAGAGCAAGCCAGCATTCGGAGGTGAGTCCCCTTTGCTTGGCCTCTTGCCTGTTCAATACTCCTACTTATTATTCCGGGGTGGCGGGGGGGTGTTGCTCGGGTTTTTTTTGTAGTTTTGCTATTCTGGTGGGCTGTTTTGATTCCTAGGGCGTGGTCTAGAGAGGGCATGAGAGTAGGTGAATTCGTATTTCTGCTCAGGAAGACACATGCAAAGATTTTTCAGCTCTGACCAGATTCTGTTTCCATTCTGTCTCCTAAATCCAAGTCTCATTTCCTTCGGCTCTTATTTGTTTCCCTGTGCTCACTACAACAAACATTGCTTTAAGTGCAGGTGATTGAGATGAATAGACTTGAGCCCAATTTAGGCGGCCATAGATTGGACCAAGTTGCAGGTGAGGAAATGAAGGAAAGGCAGGCATTTCTGGGCCGACGATGCCTTGGCTGATTTTGGGAGGAAAGTAGAATGGAGGTGAAAGGGCTGATAGACTCCTTTGCTGTTCTTGTATTGGGATAAAACAATCATCTTTTGTATAAAACATTCAGAGAAAGTGGTTCCTGTCATTCAAGTGTGTCTGACAATGTCAGGCAGGGATTGGTGATCTTGTTTCTCCATAATGTGACTTTGTTCTCCAATAGACACTTTGCTTTGCTACTATTTTGTGATTAGGAACTCCCACACCTACATTTGGGCAAAGTACACCTACACCAGGTGGTGGCACAGTAGGGAGCTGCAACCTTTCCTTTGGAACACCCAACACCCCCGCCTTTGGAGGAGGGACACCTGGTTTTGGTAAGGATTTGGAAGTTGATTCTATTACAAGTCTTTTTGCAACATTTAGAATGCAGGGATCAGACAGTAAAATAGTTAAATCGCTGCAGAACAATTTTTGTTTGTTTTGTGGGTCTGGGGATGAGAGGATTTAAAACAAAATGCATTATTAATGCAAGGGTTAACATCATAGTTCTAAACCCAAAATTATTGTGGCATTATCATGGATATTGCCAGATGTTGATGGCACATTCTTCGAAAGAGGCTAGAGATTAAAAATCAGTCATGAGTAACAAGTTATGCAACCCCACAAGTTACTTGGCGTACTTTCTATGCCCAAACAGCCTTTGTGAAAAGGCTGAAGGGAGACCTTTTACTTTTCTGTCCCTCCAGGGCCAGCGACAGGCTCCTTCTCCATTGGAGCAGGATCCAAGACAGGAACTCGCCAACGGCTGCAGGCCCGGAGGCAGCATACTCGTAAAAAGTAACCAGGAGCAGCTTCCTGCCTGGATTTCAACTCCCAGTTGATCTGCTGACAGATCCTCCTAATACCGTACTACCCAAGGAAGACTTATTCAGCTGGACTGTCCTGGGAGTCTCTTTTTCTATAACAACCACGGGAAGCTATTCTGGATCAAAGAGTGATTTTTACCCCTTCAAACGGGATAGGAGAAACTTAAGCCCTTTTTACTTGAACAGTCTATGGCTGAGTCTGGATGAAAAATTTGTACATATCCTCTATTTTCCCTTCTCCCTGTGGACCTCTCCCATTAATCTTCCCTTCTTTCTCTGTTCTTAACTTCATTCCTTTTTGGCTGCTTAGTGAAGGGTGTCGGGGAAAGTATTTGGCTTGCAGCCATATAAACATTTCTGATTGAAACCAACTGTTAGCTCCCATCCTCAGTTTCTTCTCTCTTTGGGAGCCTTTTCCAGAGAATCTTCAGGGCTTCCTTGATCCAAATTCACATCAAAATACGGTCCACAGAAAGACCCCCTCTGTCCTATTAGGATAGCCACCCTGTCTTGCCAATGCTTTTTGGCTTCATGTGGTTTTAGCACTGAGTTGGGATGTTAATCATTGTTAGCTGTGGCTACAGAGCCTAACAGCAGAGATGTAGTTGGATAGCAACATGAAATGGAGAAACATCTTGGTATCGGAGATCCAGGGGGAATCTCCCTCACTGGTCTGCTTTTTCCATGACCGTTTGGTGAGGAAGATGGTGCCATTCACCCCTACAGCTTTTCATTTCTGCAGCCTTTCCTTTCCCTCTGCCCTCCTCCCCCCCTTCAAATGTCTGTGTTTTGCTCACAGTATGTTTGTGTTCTTTTTTTATTGCTCTGTGAATTGAGTTTGGAGGAAGAATTGAATTGTATGTGTGGCGGCATGTTGGTAATGCCGGACTTGTTGTAAACATTTTTCAGGGTACCTGTCTCCAACGGAGACGAACCCTGCCTAATTGGGTGTGGACAGTCACTGCATGGCTACATGTGCTGAATGAAATGTGAAGACTTCAACTTTGGAAGGCTGGAAGTGCCACCTTGGGTCTGGACCCAAGGCCTTCAGAGGAAGACATACCTCCCTGATGTTTGGTGGCTCCAGGACCTTGTGAAAAGTTCTCGTTCTGTGCTGAGCTTTAGAGTAGGGAAGAAAAATGTTTGTAAGGTGGAAGAGTAAAATCATAAGCCCTGTGGGGCTCTGGCTGAAATCTGATTTTTTTTTTCCAACTTAAAAGAGTCACAGCAGTCAGCCATTGCGGGTAGACAAGCAGCTCGGCAACAAAAACGGTTCTTCTCAGCCAGTTTTGTTCTTGGAAGTCAGGCCAGCTGCCAGTGGTGTGAATGTATGCGTGAGCCTGCCTAATTCTAAATTTAAAAAAAAAAATATTTAAACATTTTTTAACAAAGTGAAACTTTATTTTTATATTTAAGCTAAATTGCCTTTAAATTCCTTCAAGCTTGGTTCATAGAGGTGTGAAAGTACAAAGTTGTTCATTAGCAATTTGCCTGTGCTGTTACGAGACAACAGGGCTTATAGGGAAGTGGGGGGAACATCTGCTTTCTTGCCACCACCCCCTCAGGCTTCACAGGTCAGTGTTTCATGTGTTTGTTGAATAATGTGAGTGTGGCTCGGTCTGTTCCATAATGCTTGAGAGCTCTTGCACGTTTAAGTCGGGCTGGGAAAGTGAATCTGAGTCGGTGCTTGTCACTTGGAGGGAAGGCAGATGTGTGGCTTGTAAAAGAACGGCCATTTTAGTGATAGCTTGGGACAGAGACTAACTTTGTTGGGGAAAAGGGCCATCTTCAAGAATCCCATCCATTATTTAATATATTAGTTAATATTGACCAGTTAACTAATATTCTTAATAACAGCTCATATTTCATCTCTCCACATATGGCAGTGGAAGGGGTGGGTGGTTAGTCCTCTGCCAGCAACGTGGGGAGGTGTTTCCTTAGTGCCCTGAGTCTGCAATGAACCGGTCATTTCTCCAGCTGGGAAGCAGCTGTCCCCACCCACCCCTATAAAGGTAGAGCACCTTTTTGTTACCAAGATATTGCTGTGTGTGAATGAAATGAATTACGTAAAAATAAAAAGAATGGGCTGGCTTTTTTAAAAGTTGCAATGGAGACTTGGATCATTCCTGTCAAGGGTTTTAGTGTGACTGTGCAATTTCTTTTCCTTGCTTATGTTGATTTAAAATAAAACTGCTTGAGCCAGAATGTTTTTTACTCTGTTTTTTTGGCCAAATAGCCTCCTGGAGTGGCTTGACAGATCAATAAAAGATGCTAGTCTCTGTTCCAGTGGTTTTCACTTTCCTTTCACACTTGTTTCCTACAAACATTGAAAAGGGTCCTCTTCCCACAGGATAGGGATGAACTTTCCAGCTCAGTTTCTCTCAAGACATCCATAGAGGTGGTCTTCCACAGATACACCCACCCTCCCCCCAAAGATAATTACAGCCTGGTCCCAAGTTCTGGTGGCTGCCCCAAGCCCCAGGGTCATGACTGCATTTTGGGCGCTCAGTAGCTGCCCCACATTTATGGGCATTGCAGTATCCTGTGGTCACATGACCTTGGTTTACAATGTTTTTTTGCCAAAACCCAGTATTCTGCAAGTTCCCATTTCAGTATGTCCACACTGACAGACTAAAAAGTTGACTTTTATTTCCATCCAAGCTCTTTCTCTTGCAAACGCCACTGATAAAAGACCAGTAAGCTGCTGAAGAATTTCACTTATTTGGAAAAGCCGTTTGTTTCTTCTTTTTTCGTTTCCTGGTTGCTGGGTTGGGATTTGTTTCTAATTTACTGCCAGCGTCTGAAAGCAGCACTGCAGCACTATGAGCAAAACCACAAAGAACAGAAAGCTATTTCCTACATATCAAAATGCAATCATGACATAAATATCTGAAACATATGTTAAGACTTAATTCAAAGTGTGCAAAACCATCAAGCAAAATAATAAAAACTCTGGAGATAAAAGTTAGGCGTAGAGTAGAAGTAATAACATGAAGGGAGTCTGTGGCCATGCAAATTGAACTTTTATCTAGTGCAGAGATAATGTGAAATTACACCAAGGACTCTCCCATGATTGGGAAGACAAGCAGATGGATTTTGGCTCCCTATTTCTAGAAGTAAAATCTGTTTCCAGCCTGTAACATTTGACAGTCTTGTATTATATGGAAATTACTGTTTCTTCCTAACAAGATGCACTTTTGACAGAATCACCTCTGCACCTGAAAAAAACTCAGTTTCTATGTATGCTGTGCCTATTGTCTGATTCAAGACTGATCCATTCAAGATTGGCACAAGGCTGTAGTTCGAGCCTGTAGTACAGTGGACTAAAGCACTGTTATTAACATCTGCTGCCTGCAATTACTGCAAGTTCAAATCTCACCAGGCTCAAGGTTGACTCAGCCTTCCATCCTTTCAAAGGTAGGTGAAATGAGGACCCAGATTGTGGGGGCAATGAGCTGACTTTGTATAAATATACAAAAGTATGAAGGCTATTGCTTAATGCATTGTAAGCCGCCCTGAGTCTCCGGAGAAGGGCGGCATATAAATTAAAGCAAAAGGGGGAAAAAAGGCTTATTGGGCCCCACAATGCAAGTTTGTAAACAGATAAATTGAAGCTTATCTCAATTGTGAAAAGTAGGATCCCGGTGCCAGGGTTGAGGGCAGGGAGCCACAAATTTCATAGGTTTGGCTTCCAGAATCATTTAAGACTTTCTGAAAGGTGGGAATCATGCCTTTTTGTTAATAACACAGAAATATAGAGCACAGAGAACATATATAGCCGTGATGGCGAACCTATGGCACTCGTGTCAGAGATGACACGCAGAGCCCTCTGTGTGGGCACGTGTGCCATTGCCAGCTGCTCTGGTTTCCAGCGCGCACATGGCCAGCTGGTCTTCGTGGGCGCCGGAAAACCACTCAAAAATGGCCAAAATCCAGGCTGTTTTCAGGCCGTTTTTTGGGCCAAAACAGGCATGCACACACCAGCCAGCTGGTGTTCAGATTTCCAGCACACACATGCACCCGGCCAGCTGGTCTTGCACGCACATACACACACATTCCAGTTTGGGCACTTGGTGCTGAAAAGGTTCACCATCACTGATAAAAAAAAATATTTATGCTATACAGCACACAGGTAATCCTTAATGTACAACCACAATTGAGCCCAACATTTCTGTTGCTAAGCAAGACAGTTGGTAAGTGAGTTGTGCCTGATTTTGCGACTTTTGCCACAGTTGTAAAACAAATGACAACAATTATTAAGTGAATCATGCAGTTGCTAAGTGAATCTGGCTCCCCCCGCATTGACTCTGCTTGTTGGAAGCCAGCTGAGTAGATTACAAATGGTGACCCCCCCCAGGACAGTGCAACTGTCATAAATACATGCCAGTTGCCAAGCACCCAAATTTTGATCACATGACCATGGGGATGCTGCAATAGAGTTGTTAAGTGTGAAAACTGATCCTAAATCGCTTTTTTTCCATGCTGTTGTTAACTTCTAATGGTCACTAAACCAATAGTTGTAAGTCAAGGACTACCTGTATAGGACACACACAGAGAACATTCTTTCACCTTGCTGCACACGCTTTGTGCTTCCTTTCCAACACTGCTACAAAGAATCCATTAGTCAGTGTTTCTTCTGGCGATGCTCGGAGAAAGCACTTGGCTTCAGGAAAAACAGGTAAGCCACGAGGGGTCCAGGATGGCAGGACTTCTACCAATCTCCAAGGAAGAAAAGCAGAGAAGTGCTTTCAGAAATCAGTGCTCCCCGGTTCTTTCTACACTGCTGCCTTACTATCTTGCAGTCAAACTCGAGCTGCAAACTTCCATCTTTCAAAATCGTCTAATCAGCAGCATCTAACACCCCGGCTGATCTCCAAAAGCTAAGCAGGGTCAGACTTTGTTATTACCAGGAAATACCAGGTAGCCTCTAGACTGGGAAATCAAACGTCCTAGAAAATGGCCATAGCAAACCACTGTTATGCTGCTGCCAAGGAATCGACATGGAATATCCCCGAAGTTGCCAAGAATTGTGTTTAACTAAGAAGCTTTAGTTCTTAAATCGCTATGAAACTAAAAAAACGTTCCTGTCCCCAATGGCTCCAACCGTAAAATAGAAGATAAAGAGATTGCTGCTTTCAAATATATTTGTCATGAACTGCCAACAAGATGAAAGCATTGGAGAGATCCAGTTATTTTGATTATGTTTGGGAGCCTGAGAGAACTGTAGATCTACACTCCAGGAAGGCATCAAGTATGAAGAGGATGAGCTATATTGATTTCCAAGAGACTTGTGGCTTTATACAATCCTTTCCATCAGCAATCCTTAAATAGCAAGGAAGACGTCTATGGAGATTCTCGGTCATCCAGGTCATGGTTGTCCCAAAGGAGCTTTTTTCAAGAGGCAACTGGACTTTCTGGTTTTCCTTTGAAGACGTTTCGTTTCTCATCCAAGAAGCAGAGCTAAAGAAGCTTCTTGGATGAGAAGCGAAACGTCTTCAAAGAAAAACAAGGAAGTCCACTTGCCTCTTGAAAAAGCACCTTTGGGACTAGGGAGGAAGAACCGTCCCACTTTGCAGCCCAAACTCTACCAGCTGCAGGAAGGCAGACCCTGATTTATCCACCTTCTTATACCTGAAGGTGCTTCCCTCCTGCTCCAACACATCCTGCACCACATCTTCATTCTCTTCTTTGTGCACCGAGCATGTGGAATAAACCAGCCGTTCAAGGGCAGGGAACTGCAATGCGTGTGCCAGCATTTTTCGCTGGAACCCAGCAAGTGCCTGTAGTCGCATAGGCGGGGAGGTGCTTTCCTCCTCTGCCAGGCGGTTGACCATACCTGCAACAGAAACAGACATCACACGCATCATTAGCTGTTGAAACCTGGCTGCCAGGGAGGCAGCACACTGGCATATATTGGGCTCTTAGTCTTGATACATACCTAAAGGCACCTGTCTTTACTTAGCTGGAGAGAGAGAAATTTGGCTCTGGAACCCTAGCATTCTATTTTTAAATTTTACTATGTATACAAACCCAAATCAGCTCTGTTCTATCACACTTAATCTGGAAAAATCACCATTATATCTGAGAGACAAATGACAAATGGCCCTCTTCCTAAAAACCATTTCCAACTGTTCTAATTAGCTGTCAACTTCCTATCTTGAATAAAAAGGCACAATGCATAGCTTTCAGGATACTCTTGACTGTTCCAATTCCAGGCTGCAGAGAAAATATACCTTGATGGTCTCTCATCCATTTTCCCAATAAACTTGTATTTAATGTTAAATCCAAGCTGGAAATCCACCTCCACCCTTTATTCACCTGAGCCGCTGCATGAAGGATCCAGGAGAATGTATCTCACTTTGCTGTACTTGGAGTCAGTGGGATCTGTTGCTAAGAAGTCTTGGTGTGCCAGCTGATGGCAGGTGACCCCTGCCCGTACCAACATAGTGCTCATGGTGGCCAGCCGCTTGGCATCGAGATCAAAGGCAAAGATCTGCCTGCATTTCAAGAGACAGAAAGGAAGTTTTGAGTGGCCATGGACACATCAGATACCTCCACGGTGAAAAACAATAACTTCGCCACAAGCAGCTCTTCCTCTCCAAGGTTTATCCAAAGCTTAGTCATCTGCAGGATCTATTTTCTCTAACTTGGCTTCTTGGAATTTTTGCTTTCTAATTGGAAGAATCAAATGAGATCTATCTCATCCTGAGATCTACAAAGACTGGAAGCTTATTACTTCAAAGTTCATCCCTCTGTCTGGAGGGTGTCCAGGGGTTATATTACAAAAGGTAATAGTAGTTTTGCAGCTAATAGTTACTTTTGTCATTAAACTGCTGAAAATACTCAACTGGGTTCACACAGAGTATTAATCCACAATATGCAACGACCGCATTCGTGCAACATACTAAGCCAATTAAAAACAAAATTCATATTACATTTTAGAATGATTTGCGTGAATCCAACTATAGTCACGTTCCTCTTGAATACAAAAGTAAACTTTCTAGAAATGTTGAGGCCATGGTAAAAAAAATTGAAGATGTTAAATTTAAACAACAGAAACTTTCTTAGCAAATCCAGACTTGACTTAATGCTCTTAATGTGTCATTTATAAACAAGTAAAATGTTATGTGTTATTTGGTACATTTTTAAAACCTCTAGCAAAATCCAGTGATTTTCTCAAGATGAGCACAAATGTATGAATATTACAAAACAAGCGTTTCATCAAGTACGAGGTAGGTAAAACAGATGATTTTTTTTGTTTAAGAATTTCTTGGGGGGAGA